GCATCATTTCTGTTCCTGATCATATACTTTTCATCCTAATTTCAGTCCTATTATAATCACATATGCAGCTGCTCAGCAGTCACATTCCCAGACTTCTCGTTCCCACATTGAGCAATCCCCTTGCAAGGGCCTGGCTACAGCAGAACTCAGCACATCTGCTCTGGACAGAGCCATTCCTTCTAGTTTAACATCCTTGAGTTTTGAGACTTCTTCCAAGAGTCTTCCCTCCAAGAACTGGGGGAGCTGTCAGCCCTTTTCTCCAAATAATCCTGTGCGTGGAAATGCTTCTGCACGTGTGTTCTGCATCCCCATCTGAGGCACCACAGGCCTGGGCTTGCAGCCACCACGGGATGAGTGCCCTGAGGGCTGGGGAGTGCGGGGCTGGGGGACCCCACACTCGGTGGGGTCACCCCCGTCCTGGCTGCAGAGGGGGGTCCAGGCTCCGGCGTGTTTTTGGGGGATCTGTGAGCACAGCGTGGCAATAGCAGGGGAGAAGGGGCTGGGCAGTGTTTGAGCAATCCCATCTGCTGTCTGAGCCACAGCAGACACTGGGGAAGAGAATATTCTGGTCTGCACTCGGTGCCAAGGCTCTTCCCCGAGCAGGGAGGGCTGGAGCCGTCGGTCCCGGGGATTTTCCAGCTGCTGGCTCCTCCGGCGGGGCTGAGCTCCGCGCCCAGCCGAGCAACTGCTGCTTCCAGCGCCACATCCCCGGCCTGACCCACCCCCGGGATTATCCAGCTGCTCTTCCTGGGCAGCTGAGGCCGGCAGCCTCTCCAGAGCTTCCCCTCGGGCCGGGGAAGAGCCATTTTTGGGAGGTGCCGAGTGCCTGCTGGGCTGGGTGAGAGCAGCCGTACCCAGGCGGATGCCAGGGGCACAGGAGGATGTTCTGCCGGGCTGTGAGCATTATCCCTGACTGAGCTCTCCTGGTTCTGCTCTTGTCCCTGGCTCTGCCAAGGGTGGCTCCGAGTTGTGCGGGTCACTGGCAGCTCGGGTGGCAGGAGAGCAGGGTGAGCCCCTGGGCTGGCAGCGGGGAGCTGCCCCCCAAGGCCAGCTTGTGTTTGGTTGTATTTTATGGGTTTGTGTGGTGAGCCAAGGGCAGGGGCTGCAGCCAAAGGTGTGCAGTGAGACAGCAGTGGTATGGAAGTGTCCTGTGCTACCCTGGCACTGACACCAAAACACAGCATTTTCAGTGCCAGTCCTGTCCCAGCATGTGGAGGCACTTGGGAAAAAGCTGGTGTGGATGTGGCATTGTGGCAGCCCTTCCTACCCCAGTGCTGCCTCTGTGCCTGGCCCCAGCCTGGCATGGGATGTCACCTGGAATTTTCTCCGTGGCACAGGTCAGTGCCAGGACAGCCACCCCTGCGGGATGCTGAGGTGGCTCAGCTGGGGTGAGCCAGGACCAGGCACTGCCAGGACAGGAGGATTTACCCTGTGCTGCCAGGGCTGGTGGTGGCACAGGGGCAGTGCCAGCATCCCTGCTCTCTGTGACCCGCGGGACAGGGACACGCAGGCCAGGAGCTTGCAAAGCCGTTAAGCTCCTCCTGTGATGGGCGCAGCAGAAGGGAGAAGGATTATGCCTGTGCCTGGGTTTGGTGGATGAATAACAGCATTCAGGGTCCTTCTGCGGATAGCAGAGCGGGAGCTGTTGTCAGGCAGGAGAAAAGTTGGTGAGGCAGCAGCCAAGGAGTCACCCCAGCCTGGTTCTGCACAGGGGCAGAGAGCAGAGGGGCCCAGCCTGTGCCCAAGTGTGCCTGTGCCCACGCATGGACTGCAGGCACACGCCAACTTCTTCTTTCCTTTTTGGGAAATCCAACGGATTTTGCTTTTCCTGGCGTCTTCCCAGCCCCTCACTGACATCACAGAAATAAGGGCCAGGAACAGGTTCAGCCTCTTCCCCATCTGCCCCCCGGGTCCTGCTGCCCTCCCCGCTGCTCACCTGAGCACTGCTGCGGGCACACAGGAGCTGGGGGGATCTGGAGTACAGCTGCCTGTTGGTCTTCAAAACAACTCCTGCCAACAGGGCCACTTGCTGCTTTTCCCTGGATTTTAACTCATGCTGATGTAGTGATTTGCATTTCTTTGGATTAGCAGCAGGACTTTGAAAAATGGGTTTAAAAGCCTTCGGGGCATGTGAACTGCCCTGGTTTGCCAGCCCCGAATTCCTGGGGTGTATCTCAGGGCAGGGAAGGTCCCAACACATTCCCTTGGGGCTGTTTGAAGCCAGATGTGCAGCGGAGCCTTTCTGGTGTGAAATATCTTGTCCCCATCCCTAATTTTGTTCATCTTCTGACCGGAAGATTTCCATGGCTCAGCACGTTGCTGTGCTCAGTGCCACTGTCCAGCCCTTGCAGGGAGCTGTCCCAGACTCTGCAGTGTTGATTAACACCTCCCCTGAGTTGGTGTTGGCAGCAGGAGCCCAAAGGGCTGGCAGGGGGATTGCCAGTGCCTGGCACAGCCAGGTTACAGGGAAGTCTTTTAATACACACTCAAAAGTCAAATGCTGGGAGACAAAGATTCCCCAGCCCAGGTACTTTGGTTACTTTATGGAGATCTGGAGAATCCCAGCCTGATTTTGGGGGTTATTTTGCTGTTTGAGGTTTATGGGCTGGCACAGCATTGGTTCTCCTCAGAAGCTCTCATATCCATCTGTGGATCATGTGTGTGTGTGTATCCAGTATAAGCCGTGTTCTCATGTGTGTCCAGGCTCCTTCCCCATCCTCTTGGAGTAGCCAAATCTTGTAAGGAGGTGTGTACCCTGTGAATGTGTTACAACTCAATTTAATACGTGACCAAAGCAGCCATGCAATATTGCAATTAAAGCCTAATTCCAGAGGTGTGAACAATGCTGGCTCTTCGCTGGGAATGAGTCAGGGGAGCGGAGGAGGAAGCGAGCAGCAGTGTTTTATTAATTGACTCCCGTGGATTTATTTGTCCTCAGTGAATGGAGCCGGGCAGAGCTGTCGGAATTGTTCCTGCTCTGCTCGCACAGCGCTGCTCCGTGCCTGCCTCCTGGCAAGCTGGTCCTGGGCACTGAGACTTACTGGGATGGAGACAGTTCCTGCCTGAGTGACCAGTTAGATGGGTGTTATCAGTGAGCAGGAGTGAGCTGGGGGCTGCTGGTGCTGTTTGGAAATGGCCCCTTGTGCCTGACAGTGATTCTGCAGCAGCTTTTCCCTGGGTCCTGTCCTGCCTGGGAGAAAATGCCACAGGAAGGTGGCACTGGATGGCCCTGGCACCGTGCACTGGTGCATCCAAATGCAAATGTTTCCAGGATTACAAAAGCCAGGGAAGGAGAGCAGAGCATGCCTGGAGCAGGAATCATCCCTGTGATTCCTCTGGTACCAAGTCAGAGCAGTGCTGTCCCTAGGGATGAAGGTGGGGGTAAATTAGCAGTGGGGCAAAAAGTGAACTTCTCCCCGAGCTCCCGCTGAGTTCCTCATGTACTACAAGTGTGTTTGGTTCTAGCAGCCTCTGGAAGTTCCTTGGAGCAGCTCAGGGCTGTGGCTGGCACAGGGGCTGAGGGGACATGGCTGTCACACATGGTCTTGCTGGGCAGGGGAGAGCCCAGGTGACCTTCAGAGGTGACTGCTCCTCTTAATGGCTTGGAATCTGATTATACCATTTTGCTAAGAAATGTGCTTGGCACGTTCTTCTACATTAAATACCATTTAGGGACAGTTATCCTGAACTCTCTGCCTGCCACTTAGGAAAAAACCCTTGAAAATGATATTATGGATCGAAAGTGTTCCTGAGGTAATTCTGTTTCAAACAGTGGAGTTAATCCAGAACTGAATTTGGCCCTGCATTTTCAAACGAGAAGCAGTAGCTGTATAATCTGTTTATGGTTTTAAAGTGAATGTTAATCTTGGATTTGGTAGCTTTTCCAAAAGGTCGATTTGCCGTGCTGCAGAGCATTTTAGCCCCCTCCTCTGACACTCTCTGAGCCGACTCCATGTTTTATTTTAAAGAGTGATTTTACTGTGTTTATAAATACATGTCAAACCTGGAAACGTTAAATCTGGGCAGCCCTCAGCAGTGGAAGCAATGCCATTTTTCTTGCCTTGCATTTTGTTGGTGCAGATCCTGGCATGGCACATCCAGGCTCCGGCGTGCCAGGCCTGCTGCAGGGACGGCTCAGTCCCACGAGGATGCGGTGGGATGGGTGGGATGGAACCAAATGTCCTCTGCTGAGACAGGAGAGCCTCTGGGTGCTGTCCCTGGGTGCCGTCCCTGGGTGCTGTCCCTGGCTGACTGTCCCTGGGTGCCGTCCCTGGCTGCTGTCCCCTGGGTGCTGTCCCCTGGGTGCTGTCCCTGGGTGACTGTCCCTGGCTGACTGTCCCTGGGTGCCGTCCCTGGCTGCTGTCCCCTGGGTGCTGTCCCCTGGGTGACTGTCCCTGGGTGCTGTCCCTGGCTGACTGTCCCCTGGGTGCTGTCCCTGGGTGCTGTCCCCTGGGTGACTGTCCCTGGGTGACTGTCCCTGGGTGCCGTCCCTGGGTGCTGTCCCTGGGTGCCATCCCTGGCTGACTGTCCCTGGGTGCCGTCCCTGGCTGACTGTCCCTGGGTGCCGTCCCTGGGTGCTGTCCCTGGGTGACTGTCCCTGGGTGACTGTCCCTGGGTGCCGTCCCTGGGTGCTGTCCCTGGGTGCCGTCCCTGGCTGACTGTCCCTGGGTGCCGTCCCTGGCTGACTGTCCCTGGGTGCCGTCCCTGGGTGCTGTCCCTGGGTGCTGTCCCTGGGTGCTGTCCCTGGGTGCTGTCCCTGGGTGC